GAATGCATGAACAAAGCTCTTTGGCCTGGTTTATGATGATGGAGTGTGTACTACTAGTACACAAATGCATGGTGTGATTTACCTGCAGCCAAGGTATGGCTTTGTTTCTGTACCTACAGTTGGTAACAAACCCCAACACCAGTCATACAAATTCTCATAACCTCCCTCAGAGAGAACAAGACAAGATCTTAACAGACATGATACAGGATGGCTTTCCTCAAGAAATGTGCCTGAAAGATCGACCCCATTCCTCAGAGAGTCTCTCAGGAACCTAATGATGTATGGGAAAGATTAGTCTAAGGGGCTTCTATATACTGTTAATTTTGTGGTGAGCCTCATTTGAATATCAGGCATGAGAACAGAGAGAGAGTACAAAACAGTTTTCATTTTCATACATCTTTGAAATTAGCAGCCAGGGATTTTGCTCAGAAAGAAAGCTTGTTGGGTTCTGAACTGCAAAAATGGGATTCAGACACCTTTTATTTTTCTTTCTGTTTGGCAGTAAAAGTCAACCGAACAGTGGTTAAAAAAATAAAGGAAGTATTTTGCTTACTCAGAGGTTATTTTTCCTGCAGGCATTGTCCTGTAACACTCCAGATTTGTTTGCTTAAATCTGTAATGAATTCAGTTTACTGAGAATGAGGTAGAAAATTCCCATCAAAAACCCTACAGCTGAGAAGCATATTAGATTTATGAGAGGGGTGAGAGTAGATGCTGTGTCTAAGAAAAGGTTAATGTGAGAATATTGGGAGGAGGGGAATCTAAAGCAGATGCAATGGGAACAGGGGAGAAACTGCCCTGGAAACAATAAGAAGATAATGAAAAAGTCAATTTTTCCTCTGGTAATGGCCGCTACAGGGCATCTAGCAGAGGAGGAAGGCTTTGAGCATAGCTTATTCCACTCCTGTATTGCTAAGCAACATGCTCAGGCTTCAACTGTTGTGGCTCAGAATGGAAACAATGAAGAAAATGTGTGAGTTGTAGGGGAGGAGGAGGCAGGTGACACAGGTCTTGTTAATGTAAACAAAATGTGTTACAAGCAGGCCCCAAATGCCAGATTTTCTGCTATACAGTTATGTGTTGAAATGGAGTCTAGGGAGAAATAGAGATGTTAGAATCTGGGATTTTTGTGCCTGGCTCTGCATTCAAGTCCAGGTAAGCACTGCTGCGGTCCCAGCACCTTCTCTCACCAGCAGGACAGCCACCATCCATCTGCCTCCCAGCCGAAAAAGTTTCTCCTCTGGGTGATGGACCACAGAAGAGAGTACTACTACACTCACAAAGGGAGTAGGACATGGCAAAGGTTGTGACAAAGTGATCAACTCACTGAAAATACTGCTTTTTGCCAGGTTACCTATGAATTTTTTCAGGTGACCAGCTTTTGCCTGGGTTATTTTTACACTTGAATATTACTTGAGTGAGCTAAAGGTTGGTTAAAAAGTGGCACCAACCTTGCTGCATGTAGAGGGAAATGGCAGCTGTCCTGGCTTTCCTCCTCTTGCAGAATGTGGTCTGGAAGCCATGGCTGGCAATTGTTCTCCCTGCAGGGCAGTGTTGCAGGCTGAGCTGAGAGCCCTGTGGGGCAGAGCCTCACGAGCTGCTTCGCTTTCTCAGTTGCTATTTAAGCTGAAGAATTCCTCTTTTGGCATTTTTTTTACAAGTTTATTTTTATTATTTTCTTTCTAAGCTGTCAAGTCCTGAAGATTTAGGTTTAGATTTGGTTCTGCATTATTTTCTACTTTTTTGATAATCCTGTGAAAAAGAGTATAAAACACAGATACAGCAGTTGCCACAGCATAGCCCTGCTGCCCAGTGTAAATCACTGCATGTGCTGCAAGGAAGTGAAGGAACTGCTCAGGGACTAACTGGGTTTAAATGCATCATGTTATTTTTATACTTGACCTTCTGTTCAAGATTTTTTCTAGGTTGTCCCTAGTTTTCTAGGCTGTTTAATATAGCCTTATCTCCCCCATTGCATAGAGCTGATACTTCATTGGATCCCTTTGGAGTACTCCAACAATCAGTAATGAGTTTTTATCAGCCAGTGTGAGCAAGAACGGGCTGAAGTGTACTGAGTAATTATAACGAATTTTTTTTCTTGCAAAATCAAGCCCTCAACCTTTAAAATCAACCTCCTCTGCCAAGCTTGGCCTTAAAATGCTTTGAAGTTAAATAATGTAAAGAGAAGAAATCTAGCAGAAGATGCTTTTCTGACACAAGCCATGACATTCTTATTTAAACTCCTGCATCCTCTGCCAAAGATCCCGAAAACTTTGGGGACCAATCAGCTCAAAGAGACCCATGTAATCCACTTCTGAAACTATGGGCACATGAAGCTTTGCCAGGACACAAGAGCTGCAAATTCCTTACTAACCCTAAATTAGGCTGATCTTTTTCTCTCTGTTGCTTCTAACTTGGTCCTTTGGAGAGATTTCATTCCTCAAATTAGCTCGAATGGAATATTTTTATTTATTTGTTGCAGTTCGTCTGCATACATAGGGCTTGAATTTGTCACTGGACCCCAACTCAGCTGAAATCTCAGCATCCACCAGTTGCTCAGCTCTAGGAATGATGCAGAGAGCTATTAGCATTACCAGTAGCAGTTCACAGGGTAATAAATAATGGAAAGGAGGTTTTCCTGCCAGGACAGCACGTCCAGAGTGGTTTTATGGGAGAAAAAAAATCCCCTGCCTTTGACTTTAGGGGAGCTTTGTTTAATTTCTAGATTTGTCACAGACACATCCAATTGTAGTTATGTCTAATCTCTGCTCCTAGAACAAATGCTTTCCATAAATAATATAATTAGCTAATCTTGTAATAGTATAATACTTTCTGTGACCTTTAAAGTGGCTATGAATTTAAAACCACCTTTCTTATTCTTTATTTTGAGTTTGTATTGAGAGCAAGAAGATGCAGTACCTTTGCTAGTCCCTGGGAGTCACAGTTTTAATACTTATTGCAGCTGTAGAAGTATCATCAGCTGGATGTCAGGAAGGCAGTGATGGCTGGGACCCTTTCCTTGGAGAAATTCTGCTGAAAGAGAACACTGCTTCTACTAAAAATATCAGTTCTGCAATAGTAAGCATTTTTTCCTCCATCAAAAGCTTAAATTGTGCAAAATGTTGCAGTTTTTCTGACAAGATTTTCAATTTTTAATTCTGCTTTGGTTTTGATCTGAAACTGTTCTCTTTTCAACCCTACTATTGAATGTCTTCAAAACAAACCATCCAGCTACGTTTCCTTAAGAGCAGCTTCAGCTGAAGTAGCATCTGAATGTTGGTACATCTGAATGTAAGTGATATTCAGTTAACTCTTTTCTTGTGCACAGATGTGGTTGGAATTTTTTTCTGCCTGTTTCTCCACTTAATCATGCATTCCATGGAGCTGTGCAAATTTCAATTAACAGTTCCAATGCAAAAATTACAAATGCTTAATTTTTACATTATATTATTGTGCTTGTCTGAAAAATCCCAAACAGCAGCTATTTTTGTATTTTTGTTCCACAGTGAATTTTCAGCTTTTCCATTTGAGTAGGAGCTTGAATTTCTTCAGTGTTGAATTTTGGTGTAGTGAGACTTCAAAATCTTAGAATCATAGAATCATGGAATATCCTGAGTTGGAAGGGATTCATCAAGGATCATCAAAGTCCAGCTCCTGGCCCTGCATAGCACAGCCCCAAGAATCCCAGCAGGTGCCTGAGAGTGTTGTCCAAATGCTTCTTGAACTCTGCCAGGGCTGGTGCTGTGATCCCTTCCCTGGGGAGCCTGTTCAGTGCCCAACCACCCTCTGGGGGAAGAACCTTTCCCTAATGCCCAACTTAAAACTCCTCTGAATCTTGAAAACTCTAATTCAAGCAAGTTAGAAAGCTAATGAGCTTATTGTAGAAAGTCTGCAGCACAGAAAGGTGTTGCTGTTGTTTAAGGAAGGTGACATGAAATGCAGTGTTTTCAGTGTTTTGGTCACTGTGACCTGCAAAGCTTTGACTGTAGCTGAGAGTTAAACCCAGCAATCCTAAATGCACATTTTCTTTGTTGCTGAGAGTCTGTAATCCTTTCCTGAAGGCTTCAACAGACTGAAGTAGAAGTTCTGACTCGTTTGTTCTGTGGCCAATGGGCTATTTGGGCAATGGGTCATGGCATGAAAACACCATTAATCCTGGCTGCTTTGCAGGACTGCTGGGCAAAAATGGTGAAGTGCTGCTGGTGAATTTTAGCAACAGAACTGAGAATCTTATTTGTATAATATATACAAATTATATATATATTATGTATATATAAAATCTTATTTGTATAATAAGACTCACTGGCATGGATAATACAGTAAGTAATGATGACTGCATTCCAAAGGGATATAAAGGCTAAATATCTGGAAGTTAAATGTCACAAATGTTACTTTTCAGTACAATCTGTTGAAATCCTGGGGCCACCTGAAATGCCAGATGACCGTACTTAGTTCTATATTTTAAAAATTACATTGTAGAATACTTGAACATATAAATTATAGGAAGTTTCTTTCAGTATTTAAATTAAAACTGGTATACTTCAGAAAATTTCTGTGTTTTAATGTAAAAATTCTCCTTCTGCTATCTGATATTTGAATCAAAAATCTTCAACTATATAATTTGAGTGAAAGGACCAGATTTGTGAAACTTCTCAGGCATTTGGATCCATAGAAATAGGTGCATCCCTGAAATAAACAGGACTGAGAACTGAAGTCTACTCTTTGTTTCATAGTGCACATAAAATTGAATCTGCTGTCGATAAGCTCACATTTGCTAAACTCTAGTGTTCATATTAAAGGATTCAAGGGGACAGCCTTTTTTTAAAATTTTGGAAACAACTGTTAGATACAAAAAAATACCACATTCAATTCAGTGCCTTTCAGAGTAACTTAAGTGCAGCCAAACTGACATTCTGCTGCAAACAGATACACACATCCTCTCCCCTTCCCTCAGCAGCAGCCTGAGCAGATGGATGAGCTTTGTGCTGTGCCCTGAAGGTGAACCAGCTTTGGGATGTGTCTCAGACCATGGTGCAAAGTGACTTGATTTAAAGGCCCTCCACTGAGATTGCTTGTCACCAATCCATATTCCCGGGTAGGGATTTGCTGCAGTCAGTCCTGGAGATAAGGCCTGGATGGGTAAGTCCCAGTGTGTGTTGGGCTATTCATGATCTCCATTATATCCTTCCAGTAGTGAAAAGCCCGGGGGGTTCTGTGACCTTGTATCCCTAAAGCAAGGTAGGAGATGATTATTAATTTAGCAGTGAAACAAGCAGCAAACACTCCAGCAAAGCAGACTTTTTGGTGTCACGTAGAGTGACCTTTAAAAAAGCTGTCGGTACAAATTTTTGCCACACTTCCTAAGATGCTGCTGCACATTTTTGGTTATAGGGGCTTTAAGTCCTTAGGGGCAGATTTTGTATTAAAGGAAGCAAACCACAGAAACCATAGAAAACTTGTAACACATTATTGAATTAGGGTCCAAAACATGAATCGTGTGTACAGTCCAGTTTTAGGTATGTCTGTATGCAGGTGTGATTATTTATGTCCTCTCTGAATACCAATTTGAAGGGGTTGGCAGAACCCAGCGGGGCTCTGTGAGTGTGGCCAGCACAGGGGGCTCGGTCCCAGGAGCAGACAGGTCTTGGCTGTCACCCAGGAGCTGTGTCAGGGCTGGGATGGCTGTTGGCTTCATCCCCCAGACTTCTGGCCTGGCCTGGCCTGCCCTTCACCAGGACTGGGATAAGTGTGCATGTCCGTGTCTTCTCTGGGATTTCTGTTCATCACTTTCATCTGGATTAAAAAAACCAAACCAACTGGTTAGTTAAAGAGTTATTTAATTTATTTCTGTTAAATAAAGAATTGGTTAGACCTAAAGTTGATGCATGAGGAAATTTTCCCAGGAGAGAAGACATAGGAGGTCTCCTTCAATGCTGGAACTTTCCTAGGAATTTCTGGTAGAGATGTTAATTTCCTTTTTCATGTTTAATGGTGTTTTTTCAGGTTTTTGGTCCTGGAAGCTATGGCAGAAGTCCTTGATGCCATTTGTGACCACAGGAACTTGTGGCAGAGGGCCCAATAAGGCACTAAGTCACTGCCAAAGGTACTCTTTGTTGTCTAAACAGTTTTGTAGCTTCATCTTATTCAAGATAAAATAGCTAGGAAAATTTTTGCTAAATATTGACAAGACAGGCAGTTTTCTTTGTTTTATATAAAGGGGACTGATGGAAGGGTTTGAGGAGATGCTGAACCAAGCTTTCAGGATTACAGTTTCAGGGAGGGATGGAGGAAGAAAGAAAAGAAGGGATGAAGGGGTTCTGCTATGCCACAGGTTTTCATAAGATGTTAGATCCTTTCCATCTAACTGCCTTCCCAGTGGCTACTGCTAGTCTGTCCTTTTGGGACTTTCTCGAGAAAGAAGAAATGAATTTGCAGATATGCTAAAAGCAAAGTCATTTGTATGTGATATTTCCTGAAGAGAGAAATGCACAGCAAACCCCTCTCCCTGGAGAAAAATGGACTCATGGGGTTATAGGTTGAAGTCTCTAAGAGGATAGCTCTTTCAAATATGGTTTGTAATACCTGACCTTACCCCTTACAGACCTGTTGCCCTCCAGGATGGAAGTCTCCTGGGGCACAAGTGTCCTGCAAATGTACGTGTCACCATGCATGCTAAGGACTGCACATCTCAAAGGTTTTGGTGGGAAAAGTGGTGCAGGCAGGGTAGGATGAGGCCTGTGGTTGTGTGCAGTGAGTGATACTTACCCACAGATCTGCTTTTGGCTGCAGCTGCCTGGCTATCTGTCTGTGCAGGGACCATAAACTGGATGGACTTGTGTTTACTTTGTGTTTGGGAGGAAGCCTGTCAGAGGCACAGTGCTCTACAGCCTCAATAACCTTTTACTTTTCAGGTAAGCAAGTGAGCTATTTCTGGCAGAACATAAGGGGAACTTTAAAGTCTTGAAGAGATACTATATCCAGTAGGATTTTATTTGATGGTGGTGGAAATGCCTGTTGGGAGCAGCTTTGGCAAAGGAAACATGACATGTTTCCCTGTACTGCAAACATACCATCTATTCACTGTGACAGTGTAGTCAGAGCAGACTGCTGTACCCACTCTTCCCCTGGAAAGCAAAAATAATTGTTTAATTTACTTTTCTGAGAATATAATCAGACTTGGGTTCTGCAAATCACTGCTTGGGCTGCCAGTCTCCTGTGACACATGTCCTGGGATTCGTTCCTGAACCCGGCCATGCCCCTGAGGTCCAGGTACCTGCTGGCTGTGCGGACAGTTGTCACCTGGGGGTCCTGCTGTCTCCTGTGGCAGTGCTTGGTGAGGGCCTTCCCTGCAGAGAGCAGTGGGATATGCTTCAGAGTAGCTTTCTTCTGATGTGCAAAATGTAGGGAAGGCAGAGTAATCCAGAGGAGCAGCTGGTATGTCCTGTTCTCTGTCATGGAATGAAGACCAGGTAGGGACTAGGCAGCGTCCAGCTCCTGCAAAGGCAAATGGTGATGTTCTGCCTTTAAATTAGCCTAGTTTGCAAGGTACCACTCAATTCTAATAAAAATATCTGCATTTAACTGAAACAACATGGACATGGTGGTGTATCACAGCTATTACCTCAAGCTTAGCTAGCAGCAATTTAGTGATGAAAGTAAGGTAGATTAAATAAGATCTCATTAATAAAATTTCATTTACATGTCTTAAAAAGAAATCAAGCATCAATGTGGTTTGTTGTTTTGGGTTTTTTAAATTAAATTGGCAAGTCACATCTGTATTTTGTTGGATGCCATGACTTTGCTATCAGACAGCAGCATTTGTCATCAAAGCAAATGTCTTGGGAAGGGGAGTGGACTAAATCTGTAGTGAAACTAAGTGCCACATTTGTGTTTACAGTTGAAGGCTGCTATGAGTTTTTATGAACCACCTCAGGAGTAGCAGCTGCAGCTTCTTTGGGAGGATATTTGCTCTGATATTAAGGGAATGGCAAGTGGAGGAGAACAATGAGCTTATATTTGGCTAGGACTTAACAGGCTCTATTACAGGCAGTATGATGTATATTAAATAGATCCAACTTGCTGATATAACTTTGTCCCTCTAGTAATAGAAAGGAGCCCACTTAATGCCTGTATTTATGGTTGTTGCTCCATCTTCCTACACCATGTGGAAGAAAAGCAGCTCTGATAAAACATGTATGGATTAAGGATCTAATTTAAATTCTTCCACTGGTTGCAGTGGAATAGGCTTTTGGTGAAGCTGCTGTGCCTTGTCTTTGCTGCTTTTTGTTACTGCACAAGTCTAAGACATTTACATGTATTCTGAGTTAATTACAGCCAGAGTGGTACCATTTCCTGGTAGTGAAAGCTCTGGTGAGGATAATCCTATGGAAAAAGGACTCTTTCTCAACAGCAGAGACTGAAATTCTGCTTCATCAATTTCTGCCCAGTCCTAACAGTAAAACAAGTCCTTGAGAATTGTAAAGCTCCCTGTTGTACAAAGTCTGAGGTTGGGCAGCCTGTTTGTCTGGGAGGTGGTAGAGACTGAGGCCCTTTAAATGCCACTGCATTGCTTTTTTATTTATTATTCATTCAGTGAATGTATCAAATAGCTACAGGCATCCATCTGTCATTCTGAGGCCTGTCCCATCAATTCAAACACACAGCTGCACAAAGGGACGGCCTCTCAATATACTCACCTCTGTCCCTGGCCTCCTCACCAGTCTGCAAAATAAAAATAAAGGCTGATGGATGAGTTACTCGCACAAGCAGCTATTTTAGTTCTTTCCTCTGGGTTTCGTGATGATATTTTAGCTTCTCCTTTCTCTGAGGGAGGTAAGAAACAAGTGACAAGTGCCTCCCAGGGCGTTCAGTGAAATGAAGCTTTTGATGAATCCATATCTGCTCGATCCCCTTTGAACCCCGAGTGCTCTGCTGCCCGTGCCCGGCTCCTCGGTGCACAGCACCCAAGGGTTTCTGGCTTGGGCACACTACTCTGACCTCAAGGCCAGATGCTGGCATGGGCAGAGTTCCACAGCTGTCATCAGACATTGTGTTCAGTTTTTGAGTCTGAAAATAAGTGAAGTGGCCAGACTTTTCCAGTGTTATTCAAAAGCTGCATTTTTTTTCCCCAGACTAGTGAAAACCACCTTGATTGGTCTGTCTCAGACAATTGTTTAGTTAACCTGGGAGATTTCAATCCATTTGGATTTTTTCCTCACATTTTATCGTAGCAATGCTTTCAACTGAAGCTCTCAAGGTTTTTTTTGCATTTGAAATGAGCAGAGTTCAGGGGAGAAACCTTTAGTGTCACATTTGTGCTGTCTGTTTAGAATATGTTTTTGTTCAGAGCTCAAGATACAAAGCTAAAGGTAGAGCTTTTTCAGTCCATCTCTCTCCCTCCTTCCCATTCACGTGGTGCAAGTGCAGATGAGAAGAACTTCACTGAAAACTGCCAACAATTAAAATCTTCTTTCATGTTCTAAAATAATTCATCCAGATTTCAGTGTTGTTGAGCTTGTTCTAGGGCACTGGAGAAATGCATGAGCCACAGACAAAGATACAATTTAATGTGCTTTTTAGGTGCGTATCCACAGTTAAAATTGACTTTGTGATTCTCCTTGCCTTTCTAATCTTTGCCTAAAGAAATAGGTTTGCAAATACATACAGTCTAACCAATATCTCTGTTTAAATCTGAAAACCTATTCTAGGGAGAATTTTTTCCAGTTGCTTGGTCCTGTTACCCAGAATCACATCTCTTTTAGAGTACCCTATTATTTATGACAACAAGCATGATGATGATCAGCATAAAACCGTAGAACCAATAAAAATTCCTCTTACCAAATGTATGCTGAACATATCCTCAGGCATTAAAGAAGTCAAGTGGATCAAGGAGTAGCTACTACTTTGCAGACATCTGGTAAAAGCCCAGATTGTTTCTGAATGTCCCCCAGCAATGAAAAAGTGCTATAGATAAAGAAATAACTAGTATTTCAAAAACATC